TGATCCAGAGTTTGAGTTACTGTAGTTTAAGCATTACCTTACAAGTTTTTATTACAAAATGAACACTATTTTATCTGCAAATAAATTTTTTCATGGTCCCAAATATTATATTATAAAGAACCATGAGATTTTAAAACTGAATTGTTAATTTTTCTCTTTGTTTCTACAAATTAATACCTAAAAATAACATTTTCTTGGTTTTTATGTCTGTTCATTTCAGAAACAACATAAGTCAGTCAAATAAAAAAACCCTAAAAAGATGTAAAAAAAAATTTTGTTGGTAATTTTTTGAAAGTCATCAACACCTTTGACGAAAAATTTAAATGTTCTTTCTCATTTCACAAAAGTTACTTTTTTTGACTTATGATTCGTTCAATTAAATTCTATGTTTTTATTTAACTTATTTTTTTATTATTAAATTACTTTATGTAGCATTATTTAGCAATGTTTTGTTATTTTCTAGTTGAAAGAATCGGAAAATCAATCGGTTTGTCACCTTATATTAAATCTATCACCATATGTTAGATTTATCACTTTGTACTAAAATTTATAACTTTATATTATAGTTTATCACTTTATATTAAGTATGCATTGAAAAATATAAAAGACTTTTTTTGTTTATAATGTTTATTTTTGATTTAATATTCCTATTTGCTTTTTGAGTATTTTTTATGGGTCAGCGTTACAACATCAGTTTTTACCGTGTTTAATAACATCTGTTCGTTAACATCTGTAAGTATAATGAGGTATAATAACATCTGTCCAAAAACATCTGAAATTTCATTGATGTCAAACAACATCTGTCCAACAACACCTGAAAGTTCATTGATGTTTAATAACGTCTGTGCAAAAATTAAATGAGTATTACAGATGTAGTTACGTCTTTCAAATTACCAAAGTGTAATAACATCTGTGCAACTATCTTTTAATATTTTAATAGTACATCTTTTAAGTTATCGAAGTGTAATAACATCTGTACAACTACATCTGTGGATTCCACAGATGTAGTTACATCATTTAAATTATCGAAGTGTAATAACATTTGCGCCACTACATCTTTGGATTTTACAGATGTAGCTACGTCTTTTAAATTATCATAATGTAATAACATCTGTGCAACTACATCTGCAGGTTCTATGATTAAATTATTTTAAAGATAAATTAACTAAAAATGCATTATTTTAACCAAATGTTATTACATATAGAAATTTTTTCAGATGCAACTACAATTCGAAAAAAATGTTAAGTTTTAATGCATTACTTTAACCAGATGCAGTTACACATAGGATTTTTTTTTAGATGTAACTACATTTGGATAAAATACTTTCCATAATATTGGACTTGGATAAAAATTACCAAATGCAGTAACATCTTTCTAAAGAATTTGTAAGGGATTGCTGAGTTTAAAGATGATTTTGGACAGATTTTATTAGAGCTAAAGAAAAAATACAAATAGTCTTGGACAAAAGTGTACAAATGATCTTGAACTACTCCACAGATGCGGTTGGGCAGATGTGGTAACTTTATATTGTTTAAATATATTGTTTATGATTTATTGTTTAATTTAAACAAAAAAAAGTCAATTGTTTTGTTATATGTGTTTCTTGCTTTGTCGACACAAACTTGGAAATGCAATATAATTGATTTGATTCTACAAATAAATAAAAATGATAAATAAATAAAAATGATAAATGATTATGTGTCCCATCTCTGATGTAGTACAAAGCCGGAAATTAAATGAACCTAGATTGTCTATAGGTAACATAACAAGTGGGTTTAAGCTACCTTACCCAATCATCCTGACGACTACATTTTTAAAAACCATAACCGACAATAAATCAATAGATATAGTAGACTACGTATGATTTTTTTGCATGATCTTAATCGGTAATCGGTCAGCTTGGTAAGTTCTTCCTAAACTTTATGAGATATTGAGTCAGACGAAATATTGTCTACTCAGCCAGTTTAATTGTTTTTTACTGCAAAAAATTAGGTGGCCAGTATAAAAAAAAAACTATTGGATTTATTAGAAAAAATACTAAATGAATCGAACAAACAATAAAATGAAATAAATAATAACAAATAATTATTTAAAAATCTGTTACATTTAAAGTAATGTAAACGCTCGTAAAATCGTAACATAATTTAAATCAGTCTCGCTGTGGTTTTTCTAAATAATATCTTGAAAATCTTAACTAGCATCAATTTCACATAAATGTTAACTATATTCTGGCATTAGGTACAACTCCTAGTAATTTATACCTTTTTTCATTAGAGACTTTATTTGAAGTTATCTTATCTTTTTTTGTTATTATTTTTAGGTGCTCCAGAAGACCTAACGGTCTTGTAACAGAACACCGCGGAAGTACATTTAACCAAGCCTCCTTCTTAACGTGACGCGAAAATATGTCCAGAGCTCGTTTCGAACCTAGATTTTCTGCCTATAAAGCATGCGCTCTAACCACTGCGCCACGGCAGCATTATTATTACTTGAAGTCTCAACTTTACTTAAACCAACAAAAAAAAGAACTTTCCTCTTTTGTCTATGTTTTGAAAATAACATAGATTTTATATTAATAAATTAAATTTTTTCATTTCATCACAATAGTTAGTAGAAATTTAAGGCTTACATTACACCCATTGTTGTTTATTTGTTATGAGTAAACTTTCCTATAACTGCATTACTTGCAATTTGTTAACCCACTGTCAAAAACATCCCTCGCAAATTGCTTAACCAATATCTATATTTAATATATTTTACTTTAAATTTGAAATTAAATGTCATCCTTTATCACCCTTTTTGAAAACTTTATGAAGACAATGCCATGATTTTTACACAACCAATAACTGAAAAAAGTTCAATAAGTCAATTGAAATACAAAACAGGAAAAATACGATGTTTGGGACAATTGTTTCAAATATTTTTTTAGGGATGAACAGTATTATAAATAAATTATTTTTTCTTATTTAATTAAATGATATTTTTCAGTTTTACTAGTACTGAAGAATTTTGTAAACTGCCCATATCCTAATACATTTACCCTATGCACCACTAGTGATTTAGTAGTGATTCAATACTTATCGTAAGTGGTGATTAAGTACTTACTAAACGATGATTTTGTAAACTTTTTATCACTAGTGATTGAGTGGTGATTTGTTACTAGTGATTAAGTAGTGACTATCACCGCTGATTTAACAGCGATATACTATTGATTTAGTAGTGATTCAATACTAATCGTAAGCGGTGATTAAGTACTTATTCAATGGTGATTTTGTAAACTTTGTATTACTGTGATTGAGTGGTGGTTTATTATTAGTAAGTACATAAAGATGATCACCGTTGATTTAACGCCGATGCACTCGTTATTTTTTTGCGATTACTTATTGTTAATAGTGATAAAGTACTTATTATATATCATTTATGATATATTTAAGTAATATTGATAAATAATTATTTGAACGCCAAGTTTTAGTGTTTGCAGGGATTGCGATAATTGAAAATACTATATCAAATTGCTATGGAAACAAAACAAAGGTGTCTTGAGATGTAAAAGCCATTTACAACAATGCTTTTTATTGGATTTTCATGAATTTTTAGAATAAGTTTAAACTCATTCCACACCTCTACTGTAAATTTTTGCATCTATCGCTGTTTACTTTTCACTATTTGGTTAAATACTACTGCAAAAAAAACAGTGAACTTTACCTACCTGTAACAAACTAAAAGCAATACAATATGATATTACTAATTAACATGATATTATTATTTATGATATTATATGATATTATGTATATATATATATGATATTATTATATATACATATATATATATATATATATATATATATATATATATATATATATATATATATATATATATATATATATATTATATATATATATATATATGATATTATTAATTTACATTATATCTATTTGAAATTTAAAAAAATATCTTTAGCTTGAACTAGTTTTTTAACTGACTGACTAATACAGTGTTATAAATTATGTGTTATAAATAATAACAAATTTTGATAAAATATACGAGTGATCATACCAGCTGCAAATATATATTTTTGTCTTCTAATTTACTTTCTAACTTCCCCAAATCCTCAACATTGTCAATTGTAATTAAGACAAACGTATTATCATTATCTATCCTTGTATGCTGCAGAACTGAAAACTTTTCTAAAAGATCTTTTTGGGTCTCCTTAATATCATATAAATCTTTTTTTATATTTTTTAAAACTTTCATCACATTTTTCTGGAAAACTAAAAAAATAAAACTTTAAATTACAAAATTTACATTATTAAAGTCTAGTAATGGATATCTTTCAAGTAAATAATATTTTTATTTTATCAAATACAAAAGGATTTAAAAACTAGTTTTAACAATACAACAATTTTTAGCCTAATACTGAAGCATATATTAAAAGCAGGTGTTAAGCTTTACTCTCTCAAACTACTCTTAAAAATTCTTTTTGAAATAAATTAATAAAGTTCAATATAAAACAGTAAACAAATGAACAAGTTATTTCTTTATATATATATATATATATATATATATATATATATATATATATATATATATATATATATTATATATATATATATATATATATATATATATATATATATATATATATATATATATATATAAATTAATATTAGTAAGCATGTAAGTTAGATTTATTTATTAAAATAATAAATTTATATTAATTATCAACTAAACTAATAACAAGCTTTCTTGGTATTTAATTAGGAATTTTCTTGGTACAAACATTTTTCATAATGCTCTGGTTGGGACTTTTTTATTTTATATATAATATAATATCAGATATTATATTATATATAAAATAAAAAAGTCCCAGAGCATTATGAAAAATCCAGTGTCAAAATGTTTGTACCAAGAAAATTATTATTATTGTTATTGGTTTAATTAATTGTTTTGTATGAAAGCTTAAAAATTTAAATTTAAAGTTTAACTATACCATCTTGTGTACAGTGGGTGTACTATCTATGTCATCCAAAGATTTACTGCTGCAACCTGCAATAAAAATCTTTGTTTATTTATATACACAAATTATATGAGAAATTAATATCCAATATATATAAAGAATAAAACTGTACTATTGCTTGTGTTATGCTGCAGGAGATAAGATTGAGACGATGGTACTTTAGTTTGCGATACTGGATCAATCTCCATATCGATTCTCCGCTTCTTTTTATCAATGAAATTCAGATTTGAAGGCACTTCAAAAGGAAATAAACTTAAATTTAATGATAGAAAACTACACTTTAAAATATCTGCAAAAATAAACTAATTAAAACATATCTGATATACTTTAGATGTATATTGTAAAGTCCTGCAAAAATCTTTGTTAGCAAAACAAATAATACTCATTGATCTTACTAAATTTAAGTTCAGTGTTTTAAAGAGTATTATTTGCTATACCAAAGTCTAAAAAATTTGTCTCAAAGAAGAAAAATGTATATAACAGTATTGACTACACAACAACAAAAAAAGTTTATAAGTATAAATTTTTAAATAAAGATAAAGTAAAGAACATTTTTGTAGTGATGGTGGAAGTAACGGAAACTTGTCGACTACGGTCTCTTGCTCTTCATCACTGCTGCAAACCAATTTAGGCCTTTTTGGTTGATTGGAAGCAACATCATTATCTATAATAAACAATATATTTTACAAATTTTGCTGATACGTCAAAAAAATCTTTTAGTATAATACCAAACAAAATAAAGTAAAGTAACTTAAACAACCCAAATCATCAGAATCACTCATAAAATATTGTAAAGCTGTTCGACATTTTCGCTTGGAAAGATTATCATCATCTGTATCTTCGTTCGTATCAATGGCTGAAGGAACAAGCTCACATTCAGAAAAACTGCCTAAAATAAAAAAAAAAATAAAACATGAAAATGCAAATACTATAAAATATAGATAGTTGTTTCATAAAAGTTTAACATGACTTAAACTTACTTCCACTTCCATATTTATTTAACAAAATAAACCTGAACCAGTTTTTTTTTTGGTAATTGCCTTTTTAAAATTAATGGCTTCACATTAGGAACTGGAGGCCAGCACACCCAAAAGCTATCATTTTTTTCTTCAATCCAATTTGAAGGAATTGTTCCATATTCAATGGAATGTGGAGGTTCAAGCCATTTCACTTTAACAAAATTATCCATTTTTTTAAATTTAAAAATAAAAGCTGAAATTATAAGTAATAAATAATTTACAGCTAGAACAATAACAAAAAAGTAATTACAATAATTAAAATAAACCAATATTTATATATATATATATATATATATATATATATATATATATATATATATATACATATATATATATATATATATATATATATATATATATATATATATATATATATATATATATATATATATATATATATATATATATATATATATATATATATATATATATATATATATATATTTATATATATATATATAGAATTTATAATTTTATATATAGAAGTTGCGTGTGCTTTAGTATATCCAATTACTGTCAAACAGCCTGACCTGAATTGGAGTGCTAATACATCGACTGAGGGTTTGGCAGGGGCAGCTATCTTTTCTTTCACTATTCTTTGTTTTTTTTCCTTTTTCTGAAAATTTAAAGCGCAAATTTTTACCTTAAGAGTGCAAAAATGTTATTAGGAAATTGTGACTTAACATATGCATTGAGTATACACAGCATATATATATACATACATATATATATATATATATATATATATATATATATATATATATATATATATATAATATATATATATATATATATATATATATATATATATATATATATATATATATATATATATATATATATATATATATATATATATATATATATATATATATATATATATATATATATACTCTTGCATGTCTCTTGCATGGCATCAAAAAAAGTTTCCCATAAACTGTAGTTTTAAAGAGCGCGTTAATAAACCAGACCAGAAAAAGTTTTAAAAATTAAATTTTTTTTTTTCATTGAAAGACTGCCTGGCCAAACCAAACCCTCAGTCGATGTAGCAGCACTCTCTTGCGAGTCAGGCTATTTGTCAGTCAATGTAGCAGCATTCCCTTGCGAGTCAGGCTATTTGTCAGTCGATGTAGCAGCACTCCATTGCGAGTCAGGCTATTTGTCAGTCGATGTAGCAGCACTCCGTTGCGAGTCAGGCTATTTGTCAGTCGATGTAGCAGCACTCCGTTGCGAGTCAGGCTATTTGTCAGTCGATGTAGAAACTACAGTTTATGGGAACGATGTACGCTCTTTAAAACTACAGTTTATGGGAAACTTTTTTTGATGCCATGCAAGAGACATGCAAGAGTATATAAATACATATATACATATATACACACAAACACACACATACATACATATATATATACACACACATACATAAATACACATACATACATACACACATACTCTCATACACATACACACATATACACACATACATAAGCATGCACATACACATGCACATGTTTATATGTATATTCTTACTTTTTTTTTTATTATTATTATTATTATTTTTTTTTTTTTTATGTACATGATTTTGATATTTTAATTACTCATAAGTTATTAGAAAATTTCCATATAACTGCTTGTATTAAAGACAAGTTTTTTAAGATAAGATTTTAAGGAATTTATATTTTTCAGGAGAGATATTGAGTAATTTTTTGGTATTAATTTTTTATACAAGTAAGACCACATAATGCTATTGAGAATTGAGACAATTTTCTTTTTTTAAGGAGTACTATATAGTTTCCTGTTGCTCTAGTGCTAAATTTGTTTATATTAGTTTCAAAAAAGTTATTCATAAATCGACTTGGAATAATTCCCATTTTATGTTTGAACATAAACAAAGAAGTGTAACAAATAAATTTAAAACAACATTTTAACACAAATTATTAAATAGAAAAAACATAAAATCACCTAACCGACATAAAAATGTTCAAGAGTTTTTATTTTTTTTAATTAAATAACAGTATTTAGGCACCACTCCTAATTAGAAATTCCTCTTATCCCGCGTCCCACTTCTCATAATTTTTCCCTAAAGCTGTTTTACACCTTTTTACAAAGTTATTATTTCAGTTTTACGCTGTTTTACAAAACGGTGTTTTTCATAAAACGGTGTGAGCTTTATCAGTTACACGGCGTAAAACTGTTAACAATGTAAAGCTGCTTACAAAACGCTGTGACAAAACAGAGAAAAAGGCTTTCGCAAATCTTTTTAAAATCTTTTTTTATTGAGCAACTTTATAATTTATTTATAGATACAACTGCTGCTTTGTCTGTAGCGTCTGTATCTCCATGTTCGTCAGCATAGAGGGGCCTGGTGTAGCACCTCTTCATCAAATTATAAATGGATTATTGTATTTGTATTTGATCACTGAAATAAATGAATAAAAAAAATATATATATATACATATATAAAAGTGTATCTACATTAGATGGTGTAGAGTTGTTTTTGGCCAACAATTTTACACTTTAAAAGTATAAACTTATTAATAAATGTTGTTAGACGCATTTTAGTGTTTAACGTTTTATTGTGGCATGATTATTACCATATATATTGGGCAAGTGTCTTATTAGTAATACATAATGAACATGTCTTATTAGTAATATATATAGGCGCTACTCAACTTCCCCCCCCCTCCCCTAATTTATGATTGATTTTGATAGAGTACAATATACTGATTCTAAATTATATGAAAACATAAGTCTAAAAACTTGAAGAAAGTACTCTAATTTGATGTTAAAGTATAAAAATCCACATTTTTTTTTTATTTATTTATTTATTTCGTCATTAAATGAATAATCTTTTACAATGTTTTTTTACAACATAGAAATTATAACAATAAAGTTTCGACCAGAGCTGGCAGAAGACATGATCTTATCATCCAGCCCCGTTAATATAACTAAAAAATTCAGCCGATAATAATGAAAAAGGAAAAAAGAAACTAAAGCAAGAACTGATATTAAGAAGAAAAGAACTTAAAAATCAAATTGTTGTTTACAGAAAGAGAAAAAAAAATAAAAAAAATAAAAAATAGAAATAAAAATATTAATTATTTCTTCTCATTATTATTATTATTTTTTTAATTCTCTATTTTATTCTACTTTTATTTTTATTATATACGCACGCACACACACATTCGCACACGTACACACAAATATATGTCCGTTCATATATACATACAAATCAAATAAATCTGTATTACATTCCATCTACAAATTGCGTAAGATATAATAAATATTGCATTTACAAATTACGTATTGTAAAATAAAATAATATCATACATGTTCTAAGTACCATACAATATAATTGTGATTTTGAGTCAATTTATAAGACATTACCCGTACGAAAATTTCCCATGGGAATTTTAGAAAAAAAAACCATGGAAAAACCATGGGTATTTGGAACACGTTCCCATGAAAAAACCATGAGTTTTCCATGGAAAAACCATGAGTTTTCCATGGAAAAATCATGAGTTTTCCATGGAAAAACCATGAGTTTTCCATGGAAAAACCATGAGTTTTCCATGGAAAAACCATGAGTTTTCCATGGAAAAAACATGAGTTTTCCATGGAAAAACCATGGGTATTTGGAACACGTTCCCATGAAAAAACCATGAGTTTTCCATGGAAAAACCATGAGTTTTCCATGGAAAACACATGAATTTCCCATGAAAAATCTTTAAGTTTTTCATGGAAAAGTGTTCCAAATACCATGGATATTCAATGATTTTGCATCCATGAAAAAACCATGGAATTTCCATAGGTATTAGGAACACCTTTCCAAGGTAAACTTATGGATTTTTCATGGTAAAAAAGCATGATTTGTTTTCAAGTTTTTATGATCTAATGTTATTTGAATTGTCATATTAAATCATAAAAGCAAATTTTATCACACTAATATTATTGAGTTCTCTTAATCTATGAGATCGCTTTCTCCAAATAAAATCAATAAACAAAATAAAATTTAAATCTTGTTAAATCCTACAAATCTTTGAAAAATAATAGCTATAATGCACCTAAAACATCAAAACTTGACTTCCCCACAATATTTAATGCTCGCATATGTATAACATACTGAAAATAAATAAAACAAAAAATTACAAGTAATATAATACTATAAGTAATATACATAGTGATAAACAATTGAAATTTATCAAGAAAACAATTTTTACAGAAAATAAAACAATTTACATGTTTATTATTTTATATTAACTATTTGATAAAAATAGTATATATAAATTTGATAATAACTTCAAGTTTTAACAAGTTAAAAAGAACCATCAATACAACATATTTAATTCAAAAAAACATCAAGCCCATTTATAAATGTGTCTGTACTGTATCTGTAGAAACAGGTAGATGTTAAACAAAGTACCATTCACATATTAATATTCATCAAAAGTAGCAATGAATATATCATTATTTATAAATACAAATTATTAGATTGTTACCTCTTTTTTGCCTAAGCTATCTGCATTATGTACAACATCGTTTATATTTCCAGTCAAACATTCCTGCCTATAATGTAACTTTATTAAAATGATTTATTCAAACTAATACATATATAAATGTTACCTGCATGTTAGAAACATTTATATAGAACAAGGCAGCAACAAATATTATATTATATATTTACTTTTGTAATTAAAAAAAAAACTTACTTCTTCTTCTGAGCTATCTGCATGATGTACAGCATCATTTACAAACCTGTTTTCTTCACGTCCTTCCATTTTTTAATATATTATAAAGCACAGGACTTGTTAATGAACGGCTAAATAAATAAATTAAAAATTTATATTTAAATGAAATGATAAGGTTAAAATGAAAAGATTTATACACATATATAAATTTTACCTGCATGTTAGTAACATTTATATAGAATAAGGCAGCAACAAATATAGTATAACTTATAAATTGTAATTTTAAGTAAAAACTTACTTCTTTGTCTGAGCTGTCTGCATGATGTACAACATTATTTATATTGTCAGTCAAACTTACCTGCTTATAATGCAGTAATTTAAATAAAATGATAAAGTTAAAATAAAAGAACTTACGCACATACCATTAAATTCAAAAATTTATTATATTTTTACTTCACTATTTAAAACATAACAAATATGTAATTTATAAAGTATAGTAATGTAAAAGCATAGTAAATATCAAAGTGTGTGCATAAATTAATTTATTTTAACTAAAGACGAGCACTTTACATCAGTTAAATATAAACAAATAAAAATAATTGTATTATAATAAATAATAGTGTATTATTTATAAACATTGCTTTTATATGCTTATACTTAACTAAGAAGTAAAATCTTGTGCATTAAGTAAATTCCCTTACTGATACTTATAAAATATTACCACAGTTTTCCTTCTCCAACTAAGTGGTTCTTGGAACATCCTTACAAGTTGAATCCCAAAGATTACGTTTATATCTTTTCTGGTTTAAACTCAATTCACCATTTTATTTTGACAGCTTTTGAACTATTTTTAAAAATATTAAATGCATATAAAAACTGACGTTGTTATAAACAATATAAACGATGAACAACATTATTTATATTGCCAGTCAAACCTGTTGGCTTATAATGTAGTAATTTAAATGAAATAATAAAGTAAATATAAAAGAATTTATAAACATTATTTATATTACATTATTTACATATTCTAATAATTCTAAAGAAAAAACTACAACAAAAAGACAAAAACAACTTAACAGAACTAAAATTGAATAGAACATTTATCATAAAAAAATGTTTTTTAATACTTAATGAACATTTACGATACAATAAACTTCAAGCATTTTTATGTAATCTAAGGCTATTATAAAAAAATAAAATAAAAAAGATCATACTAGTTATCTTTTGTACATTAGTTATCTAATCTTATTATCTTAGTTATCTAATCTTATCTAATATACTGCTTATAATACAAGTTGTATATTAATATTTTAAATAAGTTTCTTTAGTACGTTCGATAAGTTTTATAATAATAATTATACTAGTTTGAATGTACATTAAATTACACTATGTACATTAATACACTAGTTATTTAATGTAGATTAAAACTAAACATTTATTTGTTGTAAACCAAATAATTATTATTTGGCAAATAATTTGCCAAGTAGGCATTAAAATTCAAACTGGTTTACTTGACATACTTGCTATACTATTGCAAGTTATGCAAAGTAAGCAAAGCTACTGGAAACAGTTAAAATAAGTATATGCATAAATGATATATAATAAAATATAATTAAAAATAATCCCTTTTATAATGCATTATAATATGATAAATATATCTAGTTGTTTATGTCTGTATGTTTAGTTAAATCATATAAATGTATTGCATTATAAAAAACATATAATTCATAGCCTTATTAAACACAGAAAAACAGAAGAATGCAGTAAGTATTGTTTTCTAATTTAAAAATAATCATAACTCTACGAGCTATGACGCCATCTTTAAAAGCGCATTTGTAACAACCATGGCGCAGCTTAGGCTATGAAAAAAAAAACATGGTTCACCCATGGAAATTCCATAGGATTTCAATATTCATGAAATTTACCCATGGAAATTCCATGGAATTCCCGTTTTTCATGGGAAAACCATGGTTTACTCATGGAGTTCCATGGGTTTTCCATGGAATATTTCCGTAAGGGTAAATAACTAAGATTACCAAAAGTTTTTAATAATACGATAGTAATTGCTTTGTGTCAAAACCAAATAAGTGTTGTTTTGTTGCACGTTTAAAATGTTGAGTTGAATTTAAAGTTTTTATATTACTTGTTAAAAGCAAGGTCCATAACCGCGGCCCTCGGCAAGATATCGAAAAATCAACTTGTTTTGATAATGTTTTTGGTATAATAAAATTATTTGTTGAGTATTTAGTTTCGTATTTGTGGTTTAAAGAAAAATAATAAGTTTGGGAAAATGCTTGGTAGCATACCATTTTTAAACTTAAGCATGAAAATAAGTATATTAAGAATATTTATTTCATAGACATTAGGCACTCCAATTTCTCTTAGTAGTGGTTTGGCACTAGCGTATTTATTTGCATTTAATATCAAGCGAATCGCTCGTTTTTGTATTTTGTAGATCATATTTAACTTTGAAGGATAAGTACTTGCCCAGATAATGTTGCAGTAGCTGATGTAGCTATGAATAAATGCAAAATAATTATTTTTTAAACAATTTGTGTTTGGAGATGTTTTGTTTTATACATAATACCAATAATTTTTGATATCTTATTTTCTATTACTTTGATATGGTTACTCCAGCTAAGATGTCCATTAAGAATTTCGCCTAAAAATTTGATTGAGTATTCTCGTTTAAGTTTAGTTTTATCAATTAGTAAATCAGGTAGGTTTAAGGGGAGGGTTTCAAATTTTGATAATTTTGAAAAAAGAATATATTTACTTTTTTCGACATTTAAGGAGAGTTTGTTAGCCTTAAACCATTCGTTCAGGTTTTCAAGTTCTTGATTAACAGTGTTAAATAATAGGCTAATGTTTGTGTGGCTAAAGAACACTTGCGTATCATCGGCAAAAAGGACAAAGTTAAGTATGTTAGAAGATAAGTAGATATCGTTAATATAAACGAGGAATAATAATGGGCCAAGAATTGATCCTTGTGGAACCCCACAAGTAATGTTTTCAAGTCGTGTTACAGTGTTGTTATATGATAAAGCTTATTTCCGATTATTAAGGTAAGAGCGAAACCATTTTAAATTGTTATTTCTTATTCCATAATTATATAGTTTATAAAGAAGAATTTTGTGGTAAACAGTGTCAAACGCTTTTGAGAGATCGAGGAATACCCCAAGAGTGTATTTATTGTTGTCAAACCCATTTAAAATTTCATTGACAAGTTTGGCTACAGCGTGTTCTGTTGAATGGTGTTTTTGAAAGCCATATTGATTATTATTTAGTAGGTGGTGGTTTACTAGATAATTGTTTAGCTTATTGTGCATTATGCGCTCAAATATTTTTGAAATGCATGGCAAAATAGAAATAGGCCTGTAGTTAGAAGCAATCGAATCGTCTCCGCTTTTAAATATAGGAACAACTTTTGCTAGCTTTAGCTGGTCAGGGAACACCCCATTTTTTAAAGTCAGATTACAGATATGCAGAAGGAGATATTCAATAATATCGTAGACATTTTTTACAACGTTCACGCTAATGTCATCTAGTCCTGGACTTTTGTTTTCTTGTAAGGTATTAAATGCATTTTTAAGCTCATCCGGAGTTATTTCAAGCTCGTTCATGACTGAAGCTTTTTTTTCTAGATACAGCTTATAACATTTTTTTCCACGAGTTATTTTATTAGCTAGTTTTTCCCCAATTTTTATAAAATAGTTATTAAATTTCTCTGCAATATCGATTGCCTTATTGGCAACTGTATCATTTTCATCTCTTTTTAAGTATTGCGGGAACACTTTGGTAGCATCTTTTTTTTTTCCTGTTACCTCTTTTATTATGCCCCATGCTTTGTTAGTGTTACCGCAATAATTTTCTAATAAATTGCAGTAATAGTTTTTTTTTGAATGTTTTTTTAATTTTTTAAATAAATTTTTGTATTGTTTATATATTTTTTCGTTTTTAAAAGTCTTCTTTCGTTTTTAAAAGTTTTTGTTGTTTTTTTGAACATTTAATAAGCCCTTTTGTCATCCAAGGACTTTTAAGGTTTTTGAGTTTTGTTAATTGCTCAAGCTTGGGAAACGCTTTTTCGTACAAAGTTGTAAAAGTGTGTTTAAAAATGTCATAAGCTATGTTAGTGTCTTTGCAATTAACAACCTGATCCCAGTTTTCCATTGATAAGTTGCTTCGGAACTTTGTTATACTTTTTTCATTTATTTGCCTTTTTGTTGTAATTACTGTTTTGTTTTCTTTTTTATTGTTGAAATTGTTAAGCAGAAGAAATATCGGAAAATGGTCACTTATGTCAGATTTTATTATTCTGCTTTGAATATTACATTTTATGGTAGTATTTGTAAATATGTTATCGATTAGGGTAGCTGTTCGGAGAGTTACTCGAGTTGGCTTATTTATTAAGGGTTCTACGCCGTGCTGTAAGAGATTATTTAAAAAGAGTTTGAAACGTTAAACATTAAAAACGCTAATATTAGCCATCTTTTGTCACCCTGGTTTCTATCGACGCTTTACTTAAAAACGCATTTTTTATTGATTTCCTGCCCTAACCAATCCTGACCCAAATCATGTACATTTAATTGCGTCAATTCCTATTTGTCATTACATATATGTACATTTATTTACGCCAATCCCTATTTGTCAATGGATGCATGTACATCTACAAAATATGAAAACGACAGTAAAAACCGGGTTGTTAGTTTAGAAATTACTTACCTAAATTTTGAAAACAGTGTTAAAAAGATGGTGGAATATTAGCGTTTTACAAGCGGCTATTTCCTGAGATCAGACCCCTGTTTTGATTGGACGAAAAATTTATCTTGAATTAGGTCCGATAAAATGTTTATCACGAGCGGCTATTTCCTGAGATCAGATCCCTGTTTTGATTGGACGAAAAATTTAACTTGCATTAGGTCCGATAAAATGTTTATCGTTAGCCGGATTTTAGGAGTTGTATATGAAATTTTAGTAAAGCGCATATAATATCGCCGTGGATAGCCTACCGAAAGTTGGTAGCAGAAAAATAAAAATTATCCTACCGAAAGTATTTTTTATTGGTTGAGAATATCACATATCAAAATAAACAATATTTGTTGTACCGTAAAATGAAGAATATTTAACATATTATTTTTAAACTAGCAGTAAGCAACCCGTAATACGCGTTGTTACTAAATAAAATTAAAAAAAAAAAACGCGTATAGAAAAGCCTAAAAACTACTTTAAAATAGAAAAGCCTAGAAAATGACGTAACTCGACTAATAATAATATTAAATTAGAGTATTCATATTATCAGAAGACAAAATCGTAAAAAATGAAAAAAATTAGATAGGATTTTCTATTAAATAAATAGAAATGACTGCCACCCAAGGCCGGCGCGATAGAATGTGTGTGGGGGGGAGGGGTGTGTGACCCCCCACCAATGATTTTTAGTCGGCAAATTAGACCCTTAGTCGGCAAACTGGACCCTTTTAGACTAGTTAGTCTGAACTTTCGTCATTGGTTAGTCGGTAATCTAGACAGTCGGCAAATGTCGTCATGGCAGTCGGCGAATTTTGAAAAAATTTGGAAAACGAATACCTTTTTTTCTGCGCCTAATTCTAAGCTAGTAAATGTATGTACACTTCACTGCGCCTATCGCTAATTTAGAAAATGTAGGGAGTTTTGTCACGTGACATTTTATCGCGGAAAAAAATCGTTAATATATTTTTGAAAAACTTCGTCCAAAAAACGCCAGAAATGATTTTATGTAAGTTTTGAAGAATAAAAACCCACCCATGAAAATAAATATTATATACGTACATGTAAAAGTTATTTTTTTTAGAAAAGGTTGTACTACAATAATTTGTTTGGGGACGACGTTTTGGTTTAAAGTTG